CTTAGCCCAGCCCTTTCCAGCCACTGGTAGGACTTCCCAATGTCAGCTATTTGTTGATAGTACATCCCATGCAGGGTCTTATCTTGCCATGGCACTTCCTCTGCTCCTCCCATCTGCTGCTGCCTCTGGCATTCTTTTAACAGCTCATCTTTGGGTGCCATCCTACTGATATACATACACACATACCCACACATCAGTAGCTGTATGTATTTATACTTTTTTTTTAAACTAGTTTAATAAAATTATTTTTTAATGTAAAAACTATTATTTTTCCATTAATGTAATTGTTTTCAAATACTCTAACCTTATCTAATTTATTATTTAAGAATGCTTAAGTATTTAAATATCATCCTCTAAGACTGGAGGATTACTTAATAGGTTCCCAAACATGTTGTTTCCATTCTATATTTCCAGCATCCCTAGAACAAGGGCAGATGCATATTTAGTAGTAGCCCCTAGATTTTGTACTTTTCTCAGATTTAATTAAAATTGTGTTCCTTCTTAGCCTGGGATGGAAATCCCTTCTCCAAAATGTGCCGTCCTTTTGGCTAATTTCCTGAGAGATCTCTTCTGCTTAGAAACTCTTTGCTTCCTATCCTGACTTTATCACCTATTCTGACAAATGCAGAACCAGGAAAGGTTCTGGTAAAGCTGTGAAATAATTTAAAGAGAAGTTCCTTTCCTCTGACTCTGAATAAGATTTAAAGGCTTCTTTATTCGACCTTGAGAAGGGGCCTAGCCTCATATTATTCTGGGCCTAGAAGAAATCCAAGTTGTAGGAGATTACAAAATGTTTCTGTTATAAAACTCAAGTTTACACAAATAATTAGGGTTTTTTACTAATATAAAATCCTTTCCTCAACAACCAAGCTTTCCCAGATAGAGTTCTTAAATTCTTTTGGATTCAAATACTTTCAAAAACCAATCAAGCTTGTTTTGTACAGAAAAAAACAGAACTCACAGGTTTTGTTTTCTCTTGTTGTGGAATTTGCTCAGGAATCAGTATAGCTCGTGGATTAGGGACTGTCAAGTGAAACTCATTTGGTTCAGTTTTCTTTAAAGTTGTATTAGCGTATTTATCTGCAGTATTATCAAGCTCATTTATCAGTTCCTGTATTTTTGGCTGCCATCTTCCAGGAAGCAAAACAAACATAAATACAGTTTTTATTTTTTACAAGGTCCCATCTGGTTAGCTAATACTAACAACAAGCAATTTTGGTTATTTTACAGAATTTAAACATTTAGATTGTTCCTGAAGTCCAATATTATGTTGAGGTATAATAATTTATTATTTTATCTATAATATTATTTATTACCTATAATAAATTATTACTTGGCATTTGGAAGAAATCCATTTGTCATCTGCATGGTTATTCAACATCTGTATAAAATGACCACAGAAGGGTACATTGAATATATTGCCATCACTACATTACTGATACTACTTCCTTTCTATCAGGCTGAAATGGAATCATAAAAGTCTTGAAAATACTGCATAAATATGGCAAAAACCGTAAGATAAAGCTTAAACATCCAAAGGCAAAAAACAGTGATAGTAATCTGAAGAGGCTTTCAGACTGTTCCAAATGAGAGTTATCCCTCTTTCTGAACAAGCAGAGCAATAGTGATCACTTGATTTGTTGTTGTTGTTTAGTCATTAAGTCATGTCCGACTCTTCGTGACCCCATGAACCATATT